ATATTGATTGTTTTAATTTGAAACTGTTGAGCTTCTAATGGATTTGAAACAAATATAATAGAAAATAAAGGATCTCGGAAATCAAATATCTTAATAATGTCCGACGTGAATTCCATATAAAATTCTTAGCATGTCTTATAGAAATCTGCAATAGCTGCAAAATGTACCTCGATTTTCATATTTTTTCAAATCTTCCATATACTCTCCAGCTTTCATGCTTTATGATTTAAAAAAAATGTTGTTATTGATAATAAACGATGAAATATTTTCCAATTTGTGTCAAATGCCAAAAGATGTCAAAATCCCCGCATTTTCCCCACATAATGCCAATCCCCAATAAATCCCCAACCAACTTGAGATTCCCCGCAGTTTGGGGAATTCCCCACAGTTTGGCAACCCTGCCTATGACGTCAATGGTTTCGTTCAAAAAGCATACAGGTTGGTGTTTCATATACCGCAGTTGGCGCGAGCGCGTGGTACTAATAGCTTTTAAGTTGGTCCGCAATTTTTATGTTGTACTTCAGTTTGGTTTGAGTACTTGCGGTAAATTGAGGGAGTTTTCCAAAACACTTCCAAACATACGTCGCGTTGCACGGTGCTTATTTTATACGAGTAAGATATAATTTGGCTAGGTTATATATTAGTTTTATTGCTTTCAGTTTTTTAATGTGGGATGTTTTTTGTTTTATATCTAAACATTACGAACCATGAAACAGATCAAGATGAAACTAAGACAACATGACACAACCGTTATTTTAACTGCGTAGGTAATAGTTTGATAAATATAAAAATCATCTCTAGGTACATGTTATGAATATGTTATGGATTGACATTTCACACAATACACCACCTCTGTGGTAGGTATACGTATGTAGGTACTCTTCTGGAAAAATAGGCGTGAATGAATAAACACATTAATCTTCATTCATCACTTTTGAATTAAGAATGTTTGATGACCACAAAAAAAATTAGTTGCATAGCTTCGGACATGTAAATTATCCTTACTTATATTATAAATCGGAAAGTGTTTTTGTTTGTTTGTTCCGCCTTCACGCCGTAACTACTACACCGATTGCTTTGAAATTTTGCAGACGTAAAGTTAGAAGTCTGGATTAAATAATAGGGTACTTTTTATCCCGGAAAAAATGACATTTCCTAGGAAAAACAAAAATATTGATATAGATGGCGCTTATTGGAAAAATTTAAATAGCGCGATATAACCGAATTCCACGCGAGCGGAAAGCTATTTGTTTTTTTGCCTTTTACGGCAGAACGGAGGTAAAAGCTAGTATTATATAACCTCTCAAAGGATAGTTACCTCTGTTAGACCCTGTTGTGGCAAACCGTGCTCACCAAGTCAGCAAACTTCTTCGTAGAGCAGAAACTTATAAGTTTGTTCACTGGAATATTTACTTAGATAGTACTTGTTTATATTTATTAATGTGCATAATACCTAATAGGTACATATTACGTAAACTTAGAATAAAGATATTTATGTAATAGGTACCTACTAAATCAATTAAAACTATACTCCTTTCTCACTTGAAGTAACGGAGAAAAATATTTTTAGTCAGTAAATGGTTCTTCTTTTATTTAGGCAAGGGATTTTTTTTTTTTTTTTTTTTAAAAAAAACGTTGCCCCACACTAGGATTGTCTCCTGTGTCGTGGGTGCGTTTACAAACATACAAGTTCACATACACATGACACCCAGACCCGAAACAACAATTTGTGGATCACACAAAGTGTTGTTCCGTGCGGGAATCGAACCCGCGACACGTTGCACGGCAGCCGGTTGCCCAGCCACCGCACCAACCGTGCCGTCCGTGCCGTCGTAGATTTAGATAGACTTCAGTTTTCAGCCCCTTTTCTTTTCATTTTGTGGGATCCTTTTCAAGTATGGGAGAGCCATGCTTCGGCACGAATGGGCCGGCTCGACCGGAGTGATACCACGGCCTCATAGAAAACCGACGTGAAGCAACACTTGCGTTGTGTTTCGTCGTGTGAGTGACGTTACCGGAGGCCCAATTACCCTCCCCTTCCATAATCACCCCAATCCCTGAATCCCCAACGATACTCAAACTCTAATCCCCAAAAGGCCGGTAACGCACTTGTAACGCGTTTGGTGTTCCAGGTGGCCATGGGCGACGCCGATTCCTTGCCATTAGGCGAACCGTCGGCTCGTGTACCGGCTTATGCCATAGAAAAAAAAATTACCTTTTTAATCGGGAGCGCCAATCGCGAGATACATACTCGAGGCTCGTCTTTAGATACCTAATATTTTTATGTCTATAGTAAGGTGTCTAAGATTATGCCAATAGCTTCATTGATCACCCCTATTACACGGGACTCATGACATGACTGATGAAAGATGGGTGTTTCACTTGTTATTTAGAAGATTTATAGCGCAGTGGCACGGCAACTAACTGCTGCGCAACCTGTTTCGGGTTTAGGTGTGATGTCTAGGTAGGTATGTGAAATTTGCACATATGTTTAAACTTATAGGTAACAACGACGACACAGAAATGAATATTAATATGTGGCCACGTTATATACCGACATTTAAAAAAGAAATATAAGGTGTAAAGTTTTTACTTCATGTGTTTAAAACAAATCGACATAGATAACTGAAAAGGACACCTGATTTCAAAGGTGAGTGATATAGACAGCGTAAGCTCACTTAGATCAATTTGTTTACGTTTTTTCCGCTTTATTTATTGACGGTCTTTGACCTCTAAAGATATTCCGGACACATCAGGCTTAGCTATTAGGCTTACTTCTACCCACAAATACCTGCAAACACTATATAAATTCTTTGAAAACTCAATAATGTCATTAGCAATCGAAACCACACGGTTTCGATTGGTCCACCAATGGGTAAGAATATCTGTAGTCTGTAACAGCAGATAAAATTTCGCTACAAAATTGGCTACGAAAAAATGAATTTGTAGCGAAATTAAAACTATTGATATTTGCCGTGTAGGTAGGATGAATTTTGTGTGGATTAACATGACCAGAGGCCAGAGGTTTAAGACGAGGTCTCGGAATCGAAACCTACCAACGGCAAATACCAATGTGACTTTTTCCGAGTTATATGTATGTAAGAGCTGAACCATCAAATGTAGGTGGTGACTCCAAATGAGGTCTTTTCACAAGTGAGGTGGTTTGCGTACTTCGCAAGGCTTCATTAAAACGATGACTCATTTTTTTATAAATATTTTATTTGTGCTTTACACGTTCGTGTTCGATACGAGAATGCCCAACTCGTACAACTTGCTTGCTTTATAAACGGTTCCCACTCTCCCCACCTTACCTACCTACGTAAGGTAAGTGACGTAAGGTTGTAAACAAGTGCAAATATTATTTTGATGCAAGTTGAACGTGTTGTTATTTTAATGTCACAATCTTCAATGTTATTTTAATTTAAATTACAACGTTTTACCTAATTAATAATAAGCAAACATTATTAAAAATAATTGTGGGTAAATTTCGATACTCAAATTTAAAAATCTAAAATTATTTAATCATAATTCATTAACGCGCTATCATGTATTAAGAGTATTTAGACACCACTGACCAACGGTGAAGGAAAACATCGTGAGGAAACCTGGAATTATATTTTTTAATTATAAGATTGAAATCCCCAACCCGCATTGAGCAAGCGTGGTGCTTAAACCTTTTCGGTGAGGGAAGAGGCCTTTAATCAGCAGTTACAGGCTATTGATGATGATTGATGATGATGATGATGATGATGATGATGATGATAAACGAAAATAATTACATGTCATGGACGTTGAAAAAAAATATGATTGATTCCATGGAATTGTAAAAACTAGATTGATTCCTTTTTATATACCCACCTTAATGACTTGTAAAGACATGAGAATGACATGTGATTAGTACATATACATAGTTGGCATCAACACTCTATGTCAGTCCACCACTAGACTAAAAGTAGTTCTCTATATAGGAGGGGAGGGGGTTTGCACTAATCTCCTCGCTTCACAGTGTAGATTCAGGTTTGTCAGAGTAGCCATAGAATGTAATTATCTACATACAAAATAATTTATCATTTGACATAGGTACAAAAATAATTTGGACAAAAGAATCACTTAAGTTCTCTCAATATAGGTATGTAGCTGAAGAAATTCGAATGTACAGCTGTGCACAATATCTCTAGGTAAATATACTAGGGAGGTATTACATTATTGTACTTAAAGTAAAATGTGCGTGTGAAATCTGAAGGTCAAGATATAAATAGACCAGGCTATTTTTAGAAAGCACTGGGTAGCATACTTACTTAAGATAACATAACATCACGCCTTTTATCCCCGAAGGGGTAGGCAGAGGTGTACATTATGCTACTGTACAATGTAAAACCCACTTTTCACTATTTATGTCATGAGTCCCATGTAATAGGGAGTGAGCCTATTGCCATATACCGCACACAATTCCAGACTCCGTGCTACTACTGAGAATTTATAAAAACTCAGTAGTACTTTGCCCACCCGGGAATCGAACTCGAGACCTCTTGCCCGGCAGTCGCACTTGCGACCACTCGGCCAACGAGGCAGTCTAACTTACTTTTTTCTCTAGTCTAGAAATAAATGTGAAAGGTAGTAATAATAAGTGTACATTACAGAATTCTTTGATAATGTTTTTATTAAGATTTTATAAAAATTTAAAACCTGACTTTTGATCGACAGTGACCAGTGGCACGACGACCACTTGATCAAATATTGTAAAAAATACGTAGAAAATAAAAAGTTACTAACATAATACGTACCTTTTTAGTAAACCTCTCTCTTAACTTTTTATGTGTCTATGACACGTCTATGATTTTGACTGTCTAAGTACCCACTTGTCATTTTTTAGAAGTCGATTTGTTTACAATATTGATAATCACTCTATAATAATGTACAGTTTCATAACAACACGGGAATATATTTGTAAAACGAATTTAAGAGGCAAATAATTTTCTTGTCTCCTCAGCTCTTAGGCAATGAACCTCACAAAAAACTCAATTTCCAGCCATAGAAAAACTTTGAACTACTTATTCTATTCAATAAAGCAAGACGAGTTAGCGAAATTTAAACACCTATTGAAAGCGGCGAAACAAGTGGTTGTGTTGTCTGGAGCTGGCATTAGCGCGGAGTCAGGTGTCCCAACATTTAGAGGCCCGGACGGATTGTGGAGGAAATTGGACCCTTCCATGCTGGCAAACCCTGCATCTTTTAGGGATGATCCTGGTTTAGTTTGGGAATTCTATCACTATAGACGGGAATTGGTTTTGAAGGCAAAACCAAATGCGGTGCGTAGAAATACAATACTTACGATAGATTAGAACTGCTTAAGAAGTCTGTAAGTGGTAGATAAGAAATTTTATGATTTAAGTATCGATGGAAAAAAGAACTTAAGGGAAAGTCAGTGTTTTATACAATTCCAAATGATAAAAATAACTCCGAATTAGTAGTAGTAACATAGAAAAAACCTGTCTGAAAAATTAGGTACTACCTGCTATGATCTAAGACTTACGATTCTCTTCTTTCTTCTTATAGGGTCATATAGCAGTAGCCGAGTACGAAAAAAGGCATGCACACGACAAATTAGTAACCGTTATTACCCAAAACGTGGATGGCTTACACACTCAAGCTGGTACCAAGAATATAATAGAGCTTCATGGAAATATATTCAAAACACGCTGTACTAAATGTAATGAGGTTCTGGAGAACACCGACAGTCCTATTTGTCCAGTACGTTATTTAGCTGTTAGGTATGAAATGTACCTCATTTTTATTTTCAGCTAATTAGTTAACGGTATCTAGTCTATACTGACTTATTAAATGCTTAGGCACTAGCTGGTACCGGTTCTCCGAAATGTGATAAGCTGACATCTGACATCAGAGAAAAAGATCTCCCACATTGCAAAAAACCTAATTGTGGCGGCTTATTACGACCGCATGTTGTCTGGTTCGGTGAAACCATCGATTTTCGACTTTTTGAGAAATTTGGTAAATATAAAATGTAATCCTTTATTCTACCAGAGCGTTGTGCAATTATTTATTTATTACACAATGATTAAAATGCTTGATTTATTAAATTTGCTGGACGTAGATCAAAATGAAAATATTTACCTGTTTGGGTATTAGGTATTTTAAGAAGTGTTAAATATCGCTTTTATCAATCGCACCTACATTTTGTCTCCAGATGTCGTTATATCACAGTGCAACGTGGCCCTCGTCATCGGAACGTCGTCAATTGTTTACCCCGCAGCTGCGTTTCCAACAATATTATCAGCTTCGGGTTCAATCGTAGCAGAATTTAATATTGAAAAACAATCACCAACCTCACGGAAATTCGATTTTTATTTCCAAGGACCATCTGCTGTCACGTTACCACAAGCACTGAATGATTAGACTAAACTTACCAAAGAAAACAATATATAAGACTTACCGCTTTTTATTTATTTAAAATTTTATATGATGAAACAGAGTGGATCGTAGGTACTGTTAGGTATATGTTTTTGAATAATTATTTTTTAGACTTCATCATGTTTAAAAAATAACACCAGCAAAAGGAACTGTACCTACCAATACAATCCACCAAAATCAAACTTGTGGATAAAATATGGGTAAACTCAAAACCTCATACAGGCTCTCCTGCAGGAATTATAATTATATTTCATTTTATATAAATACCTGATTGCAACCTATTTATACATTAATAGTCGTAAAGTCTGCAGTAATCTGGTAAATATTTAATCTCTTAAGGGCTTAGTAGTCATACCTGCATGTCATGCCTCTAGCGTGCGGCTACAAATCGAAAAAAAATTCCTACAGCAAATAAGAAGGAGCAATCGTGTTCATAGAATAACTCTGTCGCAGAAATACGACAAGACCGGTAGGGACACGGAAAGAAACCGTAAATGTAGTCTTAACCTTATTCTAAAAGTTGGTATAGCAAACTTTATATCATTTTTACTCTGTGCGATTTTGCTCTATGATTTATGACTTTTGTTAAATTCACTATGGTTTTGGCGTGTTTTTACTTCATCGGTTTTTACGAGTGCAAATAGTGCGAATCTTTGTTGTACTTTTTAGTATTAAGTGTATTTTGAAAAAGTATAAAATACAGTGATAAAGTAGTTATCCAAATATAGATAACGTAATTCAATTGTTGTGTTTATGTTGTGATCTACTTATAAAGTGATAATATGCAATCAGGAAGCGGTCCGAAAAATCCGCCATGGGCTCGGTCAAACGTGAACACCAACATGACCGGCATGAATCCGCAAATTATGGATCCAAATGCAATGATGACCCAACAGGGAATGATGCAGTTTCAGCAGACTCAGGCAGTTTTTAATCCAAGTATGATGCAAGCACAAAGCGGCATGGCGATGCCAATGGCAGGACAAATGCCAATGAACCAAATGGCTCAAGGTCAAATGTATCCTGGTAATGTAGTGGCTTATCCTACGCCTCGTGCTATGAATCCAGGAATGTATCAAAACTCGCAGTCGAATCAATCATCAAGCAATACTGAGCAGCGTGTGTTTACCGGCACAGTCACTAAAACACATAATGACTTCGGTTTTGTTGATCACGATGTATTTTACCAAACATCAATATGTGCGAAAGGTATTATCCCTAAAGTGAATGATAGAGTACTTGTAGAAGCCACTTTTAACCCGAATATGCCTTTTAAATGGAACGCAACTAGAGTACAGGTGCTTCCAAAAAGTGGACCCAATCAGAAATCAAATCCTCCAAAGAATAACAATTACAATGCTGTGCCACCTCCCGCTAATAAAAAGTCAATGCCATCTCGTCGAGATGATCGTCCTCCTCGCAGAGATGATAGGGTATGTCCTTGCACTTGTATTGTTACTATTAACATGTATTTATCCTTTGTCAATCGTCTTACAATTAGACTGATAGAACACAACTCAAACATCTATTTATACAAAAAAAAAATTATACATTTTTCATTAGTTTTTAGTATAGAAAAATTTCTTTGTTTGGGAGTTAATAATTTTTAAATTGTTTTATGATGAGACATGGAGACACTTTAAAAAAAATTTAATTCTAATTATTCCCATCACATTACATGCGTAATGGCTAATTGATCTTTAATTTGTCTATTAAATAGTAACTAATCCAACTGTAGAATGAATGTCCAAAATCGGTCTCTATCTAGAGATTGGTTATTGAAATCGGCTGTTATTGAATGCCTTCAAAGAACAATAGACATAATCTATTTCATTATTTATAGTTCACACAGAAAAGGTCACGGTCAAGGACTCGGTCCCGATCCCGTGACCGTCGTGACAGTCGCAGTCGTCGAGACTCTCCTCCTCGCAAACGTCCTGTTGTTCACCAACCATCACCTATCAAATATGTTGTTCGAGTTCCTAGGATACCGCTTGACATGTAAGTTAATGTTTAATACTTATGTACTTTTGATTCTTTTTTTGTTTTTAAATTGAAATTGCATTAACCTGTATTATTTTTTACAGACAAAAAATGGATGTGCCTGCTCTGTCACAAAGATATACAAACTTATATGTACCATCTGACTTCTTCAATGCACAAGTTAAATGGGGAGAAACATTCCCACCACAGACACCATTCTCCATCAACAATCCCTGTGCCTACCATATCATGAACAAAGAAATTGATAACCCAATTGATAATGATGCAATTTTAGAACCACCTGATGCAGATTACAGATTTTCAGCTAAAGTAAGTATTCTTATTTTAATCTTAAAATGCTTGTTATTTTTTTACATATGAATCTATTATAACTAAACTCTCAATTTCATTTCTAGGTAATGTTAATCAGTATGCCAACATTGGAAGCTCTATATCAGAAATGTGGACTTACCAAAGTTGACGAGAAGGACAAACGCTCCAGTTCAAATAAAAATCCATTGCATCCTACCAGACTCATCAAGTTCCTTGTGGGACAAAAAGGGAAAGGTGGTGAAAATTTTGCTATAGGTGGACCTTGGAGCCCTTCATTAGATGGCGAAAATCCTCAGTCTGATCCAAAAGTTTTGGTAAAGACTGCAATACGCACATGTAAAGCTCTTACTGGCATAGATTTGTCTTCATGTACCCAATGGTAAGTGTACTATCGTCATTTGTTTGGTCATCTTACTCTCCCGCTGTGCTGACATTTATGTAAGATCACGATGGGTCAAGAGTTTCTTCTGGACATACTGTTGAGGCTGGTGCAGTATTTCAGAGTGAACATAGTGACTACTTGGTAAAGTCACCAACAGACAGAAGAAGCTTTAACCCCTTTTTTGTATTGGTCATGGTACACACATTCCTTAAGTGAGAGTTAAGTGGAGGCGTTAGTACATCTTGGATGGCGCAACTGATTGGATGCAGACTCGATGTACCACCTACCAAAACAGCAGTTTGTTTTACTCTCGTAGCGGATGTGTCGTGTCCATGTCTGCAGTCGGGTGGGCGACGCGCGCGTTGCGTTGTGAGTATACCACTATAACTGTATTACCCATGCAGGTACCGAATGGTGGAGTTTTACTACTGGCGGGAGGGCAGCGGCGGCAAGTCGCGGCTCGAGTGTGTGGTGTTGTTCCTGCCAGACGTGTGGTCGGCGCAACCGTCGCGTATCGACTGGACCAACGTACAGGAGCTGTATAAAGCAGCCTGCGATGCTGCCATCCGAAAACTTGACGGCGAGGAACCGGAGTCCAGCAAGCCCGAGCAGCAAGTGACGGCAGCGGCCGACACTTCTGCGGCGGACAAATCGCAAATTGTTTGTTCCCAGTTTTGTTTAGTTACGTTTCCGGCCGCTCGCTACTAAAGTGGAAGAGCATCGTGCCAGTTCTGCCGACGACAAGCAGTCTTGTTGCCATGCTGACATCGCCTGGAAATAGATAATATTATTATAATCACTACCTTCTTACTCTTCACAGAATTACATTAAATATCCTCTTTTGATTTTCTAATCTAAATTCATAGTTTAAAATTTCTAAACTCAGCTTTAAATATTGACCTTGACCCTGAGTTCACATTTGAGAAACTGACAGAAATACTCAATTTTGTTGTAAAATTTTTAGGACAAAGATCTGGATAGTAGCACCATAACAATAGACGAAAATGATGATGAGGAGGAAAAGCCAGAACCGACTCATTATTCAAAATTGGATCTCAGGACAATAAAGGTCGATCAGCTGCGACAGGAACTGCGTGCTAGAAATGTTAGTTGTAAAGGTAAGACCACGACACTAGACATGCTTGATTTCAATAAATCGTAAATTTTTTACTACAATTTTGAATATTTTAACAGGACTAAGAGCTCAGTTAGTATCTCGTCTGTCCAAACTTTTAAAAACTGAAGAGGCAGGGGATAAGAAGGAGGGAGAAGATGTAATGGAACTAGAGGATGATGAACAAGACTCTGAGAAAAAATCTGAGACTACAGAAAAGGAGAATGTTGAAACAAAAGAGGAAAAGGAAGAAGAAAAAAAACCTGAAGTTAAAATTGACAAGAAAGAGGAAGAAAAGAAAGAGGATAAGGTTGAAAAAGAAGAAAAGAAATTAACTGAAAAGGAAATCGAGGAAGAGAAAAGAAAGGTACTTTTATTTTGTAGTCTATCTCATCAGTAACATGTTACACACATCAACTCCATCCATCTTTACAAAAAAAGTGTTTCGTCTATAAATACTAATATTGTTTTTGTTTCCAGCTTGAAAAAGAGAAGTTGTTACGTAAAGCGCGCTACGAAATTCCGCCTACGCCTCATATTTTGGTGCACCCATCAAACTCTGCAAAGGGTGGCAAATTCAACTGCAGTGTTGCCACTTTATCATTGCTGTTGGATTATCGTATCACAGACAATAAAGAACATAGCTTTGAGGTTTGTTTAATAATTAACTTATTTAATATAATATGTCTAGAAAATTGATTTGGTTACTTTTAATTATTTAATGACAAGTTCGCCTAGTATTTAATCGATAAAAATTTCGTCATACAGTTGTTTGTCTTCGCCGAGTTGTTCAACGAGATGTTAATGCGGGATTTCGGCTTCTACATTTACAAGACGTTGTATACACTCCCTGAAAAGGCTGAGGAGGTTAAAGAGAAAAAAGAGGAAGAAAAAGTTGAAAAGAAAATCGAAGAGAAAAAAGAGGACAAGAAAGATGAAAAACGAGATGAAAAGAAGGAAGAAAAGAAAGATGATCGACGAGACGACAAAAGAGATTCACGTAGAAAGGATAGGAAGGTATAGCATTCTCCTCTATTAAGTTTCGTTATAGATTCAACTTTATTGTTTTGCATTAAGATTGAAAATATAATTTCTTTATTATTTAGGACATCATTACTTTTATTATTTAAACTTTTTGAGAACGATAATAACCTCACGTCTCTTTTTAGGAGAGTCCAAGTGACGACGAGCGCAGTAGTTCTCCAAAACGTCGCAGTCGCGGTGTTGAACTGCCTCCTGACCCATACCTTCTCTTGTCTCTCGTTTACTTTGACACGTCTCGCGGTGGCAGTATGACTAAGAAAGATCTACAGAATTTATTCATGAGCTTAGGATTACAACTTTCTCGCTCACAGATCAGATCTGTGCTCGAAAAAGTATGTGTTAAAGAAATGTTTACTTACAAGTAAGTTTACTGTGTCAATTTACCTTAGAATGCAATTAAATGTTTTACATATTTTAATAGTAAGACTTATTTTAATTTTATTCTTTTTAGGACATTGATCCAAGCCATTCGTGATGTTTCATCTGGATCAAGTGATGTAATGCAAGATATGCCACTTGAGACTGCGATTTCAAACAATGATGTGCCTACACATGTAAGTAAACAGCCATAATAATATTCTTTATATAAATGTAGTAGAGACTTTTACTAATGAAAAAAAAACAGATTGCAGAATTAGAAGAAACCATAGCAGCAGGAAACCGCAACTTGCTTCCAATATTTAATGCAACAAGTGAGGATGGTGGGAAATCTAGTGAAACAAAGGACGTCAGTGAATCTGGTAATGTTTTAATGTATTAACATAGTTAAATATTGGTCAGGATGTATATTTATTACTTTGATCTTATTGTTTTTATTTTATTACAGGTATGGTAATGTACAAGTCTAGATTGGTAGATGTAGGGGCGTTGGTAAAGGCTGAGGCTCGTAGTGCAGCGAGTCGCGCTCGTCTTGAGGGCGCACTGGAGAGTACTCGAGCTGCACTGCGCGCCGCCCGGGCTGCTGCAGCCAGCACGCAACAAGCAGAGCGTGGAGCACAGACACAAGTTTCTGACCTTAGCGCCAGCCTCACTGCTGCACGAGCAAGGATAGCCTCGCTTACGGTAACTATTATTTTCAAATCAAATATCTCTAATGAAATTGAGACCACAATCTGTTGTTTTATGATGTGCTTACTAATTTATTTTCTGTCTTTCAGGCGAGCTCCAAAATATTCCATTCAGCTTTGAAGAGTATTCAAACTAAAGTTGAAGCTGTAGTCAACATCAAATATGAAGACGACGATGTTGTTGAAATTGTCAATGGACCCTCACAGTAAGTGGACTTCTTAACGAGAACAAAATTAAGTGTTTTGATAAATGTATTTATATTTTTTTATCTTTTTTTTTTGTAGAAATTCAAAGGATTCTAAAAAAGAAACCACCAGTGAGAAACAAGAAAAAAAAGATACCACTTCAATTAATACTGAAGCTGCACCAAAAACCGAGGAGAAAACTGAAGAGGTTAAGAAACCTGCACCTAGCACTAAAACGCAAGACAGTGAGAATTCGACAGCAGAAAATATGGAACTAGATGATAAGGAATAGAAGTCTCAAATAAATGTTAAAAGCTAGTTTTGACGGTTTTTTAACATTTTTTTTATAATATGATTAATTTATTAGAGTAAAACATTAGTTGTCTCAGAGTTATTCTACTCGTAAATAACTAACTTCAAAAAGCAATAAACAGAAAATGTTGATAAATTTCAATGGACTATACCAAATTCATTACAATGTGTAGCCAGTATTTTCGTCTTCTTCCAAATATAACGTTAACAAATTAGGCACATGATTGCAATATTAACCTATTTTTTGAGCTGCATTTACGATTATACAATTATATTTATAAGAGGGTCAAATTGATTACTTAAAAGTTCGTCCAGTTTTTATATACTGCTGGTATATCTGTTGTTCGAGCTGGTTGGTTCAGGTATACATAGCTAGTGTTATAGAAAATGTTGGGGCCTAAAACTTAATTAGTTGTGTATGACCAATCGCAGGTTCGAAACCATAGTTTTACATTGATAAAACTAGTCAGTGTGCACAAATTAACATCTTTTTTGTCGCAATCTAAACAATTGATTTCTGTAGGTATTTGTATTCTGGTAGCTCATCTTCATGAGAACGTATTTTCTTTACCAAATTACAATATTGATATATCCAATAGAATTTTATTGTGCAGCAATATATACTACATCTTTAGTTGAATATTTTTGTCCAATAACAAAGTACTTATCGTGAACTTATGTCAATATGGGGTGATTTTACAAATTATTTTGAATGTGTGTGACATTTCATATTGTGGTAGTGTATTCGAAAAAACTGTTTTTATTGGATTAGATGTAAGTATCTGTGCATTTAAATGCATCAATAAAAATTCACAAATGACAAAGATGTTTTTATTTATTATGCTTGCTTTCTTGTAGGCTATGAAGAAATTAAATTCAAACTACAGATTTGTGAAATTATTAATTTAATGTTCCTTTAAAGAATAAGATTACTAGAACTATTAATAACATGATTTGTTTTATCGTAATTTATATTAATTTCTCCTAAAGAATATAATGAAAATATCATTTTTAATAATACATTTGAACTTAATAGTAGTTGAATATAAATTCAATTTACTTTATTTGAATTATACAAATCTTAAATAGTATTGGAAATTTATTTGGAAGAAAAATGTATACTAATTTATTGACATGATTTATAGTCCCGAAAAGGTATCTAAAGAATTAGTTACAAAGCTTATTGTATTTTAGTTTATTGATACAAACTTGTATTTATACCGATGGGATATTTACTGTCGAGTAACAATAACAGTACATTATGTGTAATCATAGCCTAGTTTACTACAGAGGCCTCTAGGTAAAAGTTGTAGAATCAGATTACACACAAGGTTCCACGTAGTTTCCTGGGAAGAGTCCCGTGACACCGTCCATAACGCCCTCCCACCAACCATCATCATTCTTCTTCAACACATAAATTACTGCACTCTCTTGGAATGATAATTCGTCTTCTTTGTCAGCATAGTAATCATAAATGGCGACAACTGTAACAACAGAATACAGTAACAAATTGTGTTCAGTTGTGTATAGTAATTGAAGATTAGCTTTTAGTGTAATAATTACCTTTCTCAATGTAATTCTTGGGCACCCATCCAGGTAAGTCTTCTTCGTCGGGTACTATAGCGGGTACCGCATTTGAGTAGGGAGCTCCCATCTTGCTCTGAAAGAAGAGATCAGAGCAGCATGTTAGGGAATGCAAGTTTTATTCATTCTTAAAAGTAAATTGCTGACTGCAACAGAAGGCAAGCTTACATTCATATGGTGAGGTCTTCCAAAGCCGTCATGCGCCAACTCATCGTCCATCGGTGGTGGAGGCAGTGGAGGTGACACTGATCCGCCCCTAATGGAACCTCCTCCAGCTGAAGACGATGACGCACGCTGGAATTGTTGCAATATTAGTACCGTATTTATTAATCATGTCTGCTTTGCAATATGCAAAAGTACAAATAGTTTTGAAATAAAAAATAAACTGAAGAATGGCTATGTTCAAATGTAGTTGAAGAACCAGGAGTAGTTGGTGAAAATCCAACTAGGGGTAGGTAAGAATTAAGAAAGTACTTATAACTCCATACTTGTGTTAGGTTGACGTGACAACAACAAGAATTAGGTCAACCACTGATACAATGATAATGGGTTGGCCATGCATTTATTGTGTGCAATGTGCATAGAACATAATATTGTAGCCAAAGTATCCCAAAGTACAGTCACACTTCAGTCTTAACCATAACGTTTATGAAATAAATGCAATCTGTACTAGAAGGAGGATCACTACAATAGTGCAATGGGGGTAATATTTAAACTCACGGCTTCCCTATTGCTGATGTTTGGCTATTGGATCTATTCAAAAGAAATGACAATAAATATAAAAGTTTCCTATCGTGGAATAAAAATTGTACTAGATTTATGATATACTGAATGTACTGAAGTATTATGGACGCAAATATTTACGACCAAATCTCAAAGAGAAACAATACTAACCTGCCCAGGCAGGCTCATGGAATGTTGGCTGTGTTCACCATCAGACCCAATCAAAGGAGAGGGTGGTGCTGGAAACAGAAAACAATTTATTAATTAATAGGGGTTTAAACTCTTGAAGCTTGGGACTGCAACAAAATATTTCATTTATATTGTGCAAGATGTTTGTATTCAAATAAATACTAACGTGGCATACTGGAATGCAAATCTTGTTGAGAATAGTTGGAAGTAGCTTGATGCTGGTTTGGATGCACCATCCCCACCTAAAAACAAATCAAATATAACTGATAAGTATATTTTAATTGCGGATTCTCTCGGATTCCATGACATACTTTGTTACTGGGCATCAAAGACTGACTGCCCTTGAGTTTCATTCCATGTTTTTTTTAGGTCTTTATTCAAGATCATTTATCTTCATTCTGAGTGTTACATACCTGAGGTTGTGCTACAGGCAAAGTAGAGTAGCCAGGCGGGCGACGCGGATAATTTGGCGCATAGTGCGAAGGCACTTGCGGCGGGGCCACAGCTGGTGGTGTGCGGTACTCACGTGAAGATTTACCTGTTTACAAAATCAGTTTTTGTAGACATCTTAATTTGTTCTACCTTTAAGTTGATACATACTTTAAAATAATAATCCATAATTGATGTTACAGATTGATGTACCAGCGTACAAAGCAGTTCATAAGTCTTTTTTGCATGATGAGTTTAAATACACTGCAAAATATAATATAACAGGATAAGTATGGTGTAATAATGTCTTACCCAATGTACCGCGACCTAACGTCCCAGTATTAGCAGCTGCAGCAGCTCGCACAGCAGCTGGTGGTGTGGGCGGCTTTGTGGTGGGTGCAGGTAGTGTTGCCGCACTAGGAGTAGAACCTGATCGCCGACCTCTTGGAGTTCCACTTGCAGCTCCATTCCAGCGAGCACCATGGCCAATATCATCCAGAGCTTATAATGAGAAGTAAAATTGAATATGATTATCTAATACCCTTTTCCTGTTGTTGGTAAAATACTGATGTTATATTGTTCTCCCATGATACAATAAAGTAATCTGCATTTTGGAATGGGCAAATAACTTCATGAAGGGATGGATCGGTTGCCTATTTGGTCCCATAAAATTGAAATAAATGATTCAAGTTTCACACTAGACATAAATTAACTAATTTTATAATTCTTACAAGACATTATTAGTCTTCCCGTACCTGTGTAGTCAATACTCTTCCTCACATATTTGATAGGTTTCTCAGGGTTTGCAGGAGCAATGATTTTGTACTGCCTGTTAGTCACCTTATTTGCAGTCAACACTCCAATTTCTCGTCTAGCCACTTTCTCCTTGTGAATGGCTACAGTTTGGGCAATATGGTTCATTTGTCCTTCCATCTCCGCCAACTGCATTGTTTGTAATTCAAGCAATTGCAGGAAGTTGTAAGCAAGTGTATTTATTTGATATGCAACACTAGCTAATGATTGTGTTGTGTAGTTTTTGGTACTCTCCAGAGCCAGCCTTTTATTTTCTGACTGAAAATAATTCGCCTCACAGTAATCAGCCACACGTTCTAGATTAGTGTGGCTGTCTGTTAGATGGCTGCGCCCCTCGGGGATCTCAGTTTGTAGTAATGCTGCTAATTCAGCCATTTTGTTGTTCCTAGAATTAATTCAGTTATTGTGTACAATAAAATTACTCATAGTACATGATTAAAATGTTCAGCAGTGATATTACAACTTGAGGATACGATAAATACGGTCAGGATTGTGACCCACAGGAAGTTAGGGAAAGGCTTACAATACAAATATTTACCTTGTCTTAGGTATCTCTGTAAACTTAAAACAGTTTTAGTACATCGTCACAAATTACAAATTCTTTCTAAAACTACTTGATAATCAGCAGATTAACAATAAATAGAAAAGAAAACACAAAATACAATCAAGTTTTGGGTGGGACGTTGCGTTAAAGTGACAGGAATGTCAGGGTTACCGTTCTATATAAACAAATTAGAAATAAGTATTTAATTTTTGTATTGGTATTGGTTATGAAATTAATAATAAAGAAGAGGTACGGAACCAACAAAAAAACTAAATTACTCGTTACTTTAAATAATTGATTAGTTAAACAATTATTACCTACGTATTTAGATACTATTTTGTAGACCACGCTTGTAACTTGTAACCAAGACTTAATCTACTGTAGCGACATCTAAATATAAAAAGATAAATAAAATTAAAATAAAGCATAATAGATGGCACTACTAGTTCAATTGATATTATATTTTATATCCCATATTTCTTGCCCCGAAGGGCTTTTCTTTTCAGCTCTTTCCTTTACAATAGGCAGGAGTTTCTTGCGAGTATTTTCCTAGATCAGATACAGTAGGATGACTAACTCTAGATTTCATATGCTGACTGATTTTTTTCTCAAAATTTCTCACGTTTAGGAACTCTTTCAAATGATTGCTCGACTGCTAGATTGATGATATTGGCATTATCTTAATAAAGTAGTAATTAGTATAGATATCACAAGACTATCCTTTTTCCACAAAACAACCCGTTCCTACGACTGCACTTCAAGCCGGAGTCCCGGTAACCCGTTAAGTTCTCCGCGGCTCCGTATCGGCATCAGCCCTATTGGGCCCCATCCGTGGTATTGTGTGCCCAACAGGGTTCATAATTAATTTTCTATTTAAATGTTGCACTTACATGTGCAATTGTGAAAAGCAATAAAGAATTGAGTTGTTTCCATTCAGTTAAAGGTACAAAAGTAATTTTTAAAAAGTAATACCACTTTGTAGATGTATACATTTATTTAAGTTACATTCCATGAGGGTGTATACAGATCCAAAACACAAAATATTTATTTACGTTTTTTATTTAAATGTCGGTTTTTAATTAAATTACGTAGGTAGGTAAGCTTGTTGAAGATCCTAAAATGTTAACAAATCCTCCAATTTCATTATAGGTATAAGAAATTTTATGGTAAAACAAAATGTTATGTTCAGTTCTGTTCTACGTTGATCTAGTTACTATTTAAATACAAACGATTTATTATATTTCATTATCCACAAGCTCTAAATATTAAACTACATTAAAATACACACATTTCACGTCTAATTTGACTAAAATAATGCATATTCATAATTTAACTTTGAGTTAATACTATAATGTAATTTACTTTATATAATATGAGTCTGTCATGATAGTTTTATTTTAAATATAAAAAAACAATGTGTAACTTAATTAAGTAACTACTAAGTAGACAGATTTATAAAGAAAAAAGTTAATAAAGTTATTATATGAAATTTATCTATTCAATAAAATATTTCTGAATGAAATAGTGGATATTTAAAATTATAAACTAACTGTACAAAAACTCAAATTGGTTTGCATGAATTTGAATGAGTTTTATGAAACTTCATGCAGTCAATAATACATCCCAGTTTATTTCATTATTATAAACTTCTTGCTCAAGCCATAATTCATAGTTATGTTTGAACTCTTCATCAAGTTCAATGTTGGTTTCCAGTACACTGTTTATGTCGGTCTCAAGAGGTGTCAAATCTATTTCTTGGTCTCCACCACTGCCATACCTCCTAGAATTAAAACGATCCACACATACTCTCAGAGCACACTCCTCATCTTGGAATTCCCATGGTCTTGCATCAACATCATTACCAAAAGCCCAGTCATCGTTCAATCTGTGGCGAACCTTAGAATATATTGCACTGATTGTTTTCATATTTGTTTTTCTCCATTGACGACCCAGGTACTTAGTCTGCATTTTCAGTAATTTCAATACATAAAATTGCATCAATGCATGTCTCACTTTCAATGTGCGTTTTAAAATAGGTGCACTTTTGAAAACAACAAGCATCATTATTCTTGCATTTTTCCATTTAGTTAACTTATTTAAAATTCTCAGCAAGTTGATGCATGAAAAAACATTCCTCCATGAGTACGGAACAGTAGAATCCCCAATATCTAAACATTCTTTAGTCAATTCTGGCTGTTCTCCAATTACACAGGCTGGAAAATCAAATATGGGTATAGTGTTCTTAGCTCCAACATATGACAAAATGTTTTGATTGAAGAATTTTAGCACTAAAGGCATGCAATTAGCATAAACAAGATGCTGAGACATGAACTCAAATTGGTATACATGATTTAATTTAAAATGTTTCAAAAGCAATAACAATATTGCAGTCACTGCTTTTACTATAATTTCTTTATGCCTGTTAACATCAATACCAAGTTTAAGTGATTGAAGTACAGTCATGGGCATCTCCTCAGGCAATAAATCAGCCATTATGTTGATAGAATATGTTTTAGCAGTTGATGTAGGTGCTGCAGCTAGAAGAATTTTCAGCAGTGCAATCATGTATTGTGGCAAATTAGGAAACATAGCTCTGTACAGTATTTCAACTTCTGTGTCTTCAACCTCTTTTTCTCCTTTAGTAAGAGGACTGCGAGCAATTTCAAGTTCTCTTTCTGCTTGCAATTCTGAAAGACTAGTGTAAACATGTTTTTTGAGAATGTCTATTCCTTCATGAATGGGCTGGGGCAGTCCAGCAGTAGTTTGCCTATCTCCAGGAAGGGAGTATCCAACAAACTTGATCCGTACATTGTCAAGAAATGTGTCAATGTCTTTTTGGCGTACTTTTGATTGCCAAGGAAGACTTCTAGGAAGAGGTGGTGGTGGAGGAGGACTGTCAAACTGTTTGAAATACATGTAATAAGGACAGTTAGGGTTGTTCTCAGATTGACCACCCTCGCTTGGTATGGATTGAAATTCCATAGAATAATCTTCTGAGCCATTACCGGTTTCTTCTTTGTCCACAAAGATTTGCTCATCAGACTCATCTAGTGAAGTTTGTTTCATAAAAAGGTGCCTGCGAATTTTTCCCTCCCTATCATTTTCTTTTAGCAACTTTCTCTGGCCTGGATTTTGGTTTTCCAACATATCAGCTGCACTTGGAGGAGGAGAACTGGCTCTCATACCTTTTACTATTTCTATAGTATCTTCTGATGAAGGTGGAAGATTATATTTCTCTCTAAGTCTAGTCTTTCTTTCTTTTAACTCCTTTGAGCCTCCTAAATAAACAAGTAGAACTTTCCATAGAAGAAGTAACACTTTTTTCATAGGAAAATGTGGAGTGGTTCCTGCACAAAGATGTGTTACCATGCTTAGGAGTTTTACAGGTAGCAACTCTTCACCAAATGGAGAACCCAGTTCTTCTTTAAAGTTTTTAACCAAATGTTTGAACTCAGATTCAGGATTGTCCTTCTCAGTTCTCATGTATTCCGTGATGAGGTATAGAACAGACAAGATAACTCGTAAGTTAGTAGAGTCCGCCAGAGATTCTGCTAGTTTCCTGGAAGCTATTGCAGAACTACTGCGAACTATTTCGAGATTCAATAATTCAACGAAGGCAGAAAACGTGCCCATGTCGTACAGCGTCATAACGTTGACGCGCGCCCAGTGAGCCTGCTCAGCATCAGACTGCATCTCCGCCCAGCATCCCTGAGCTAAGTACAGTATACAACGGGTTGCACGCATACGTATCTCACTGACAGCCACATCCAAGTGCTCCAATAACTTCATTATCACAGTACGTTGCTGTTTATTTGTCAATCTTTGCCAGCTTGGAGGAAAATTGAAGTCTTCCATGATGTCTTCAAATGCCTTGACGTTGAGTTGATACTCTGGATGTTCAGTATAACTGTATAACTCTGCTATTTCATTGGCTTGAGTATCACAATCATCATAAACGAAGTCAAGTTCGGGACTCTCCATGTCGTTAACACAATCCCCTTCTTCCATAGGGCGGCGAACATCAGGTATTTTCGTTCCTCCGCGACGACCATTGCCGTTAGTGCCCATTTTTGACTGATTGTAGAAATATTGTAAATTAATTATATGATTTCACATCTCAAAATATCAGTTATTACTGAATTTGTAGGATATTTTCATAAAAAATATTTTTTTTATAGATTTCTCGTTTCGTCTTTAGATGGCACCACAGACTATACAGAAATATTGAAATACGAGCCAGAGATAATTTTACGACAGATCTTTTTCTTAAGGCTGGTACAGACTATAGCATGTATTATTCATAGTGCCCTGTTTTCACTATTGCGAACGAAATATTAATAACTATTTTAATCTAATTATATGAAATGTTATTTTAATATGTATCAAAGATTTACATTACAAGCAATAGTACTATGTAGCATTATAAAACAAAGACGCTTTCCCCTTACATGATCCACAGACTTAAAATATATAGCAGACCTAACATTACCTATAATTTATGAAGCCAAAAACACACATGCACTAAACGGGGCCGGACTAAGGTCGGCATTAGAAATAAAGGTTAAAATTATTATACCTACATAGAGATAAGCGTGTTTTGGGATAATTAGTCAATATTTATGAACACTGAAAAATATCCATTATTACTATAATTTTTATGTATGCGTTACCGGAAATATATGAGAATCCTATGAAATTTATATACTTTCGAAACTAGGTATTTAGGAACTGTAAAAAATATATCTTTAAAAAATATTTAATACTTAAGTATTTATTAAATAATTTTAATATTATCCTCATAATATAGCAATCTTTTGTCTAGAAATAAAAGGTATAAAATATTGCTTTTTCAAATAAAACACGTGGATTATTTGAAAAAGCTCTCTCTCCTTTCAACTTTGAAGGGAGAGTAATAATTTTCACTAAGTCAGTTGTTATGGTTAAGAATAGCAAGCAGGTCATCCCCTCAATAACACTTACCACTTCCAAGACAAGTTATTTCCTTCTTCTGTCCTGTTAAATTTTGTTGCACATTCTCAAGCATTTCAGGTCTAGGGTGATATGATTTGATGTTAATAAGCAATTGTGGTAAAATTGATACGTAGTGGGTACATAATATAACAACTTTATTACATGGTTCGAAACTACGATACAGATTTTGATATCTTTTAAATAGATAGAGAGAGGAAACCAAGTATATTGAGTATATACACACATCGATCTAAATCGATCAGGAGGCTTTATTAATTGTAAATTCGTAAGCACATATTTTCATATGATGAGTACTTAAGTTTTATTTATTGACTGCACGGTTGGTGCGGTGGCTGGACAATCGGCTGTCGTGCAACGTGTCGCGGGTTCGATTCCCGCACGGAACAACACTTTGTGTGATCCACAAATTGTTGTTTCGGGTCTGGGTGTCATGTGTATGTGAACTTGTATGTTTGTAACCCACGACACAGGAGATAATCCTAGTGTGGGGCAACGTTTTTTTTTTAAAAAAAAAGAAAAAAAAATATTTATGGTCAATTAACAACTACATTACACAATTTTGGCTGAAGAATAGTAACATTGAGTTATATCCATACCCATATCTGGTTTCTTATAAATATTTCCATCCAAAGGTTGTCTGGAAGAAATCACCATCGTGTGATAAGACCGTCCATTGTACGCATATTTACTTGAATTGTTTGTCTTTAAGCTACATAAATGTGTACAATAAAGCATATCTATATAAATAAAATAAATAAATAAATTGAGCCACTTACAGATTCATACGAATACTGACTTAGGTAATAGGTAACACCTAAGACAAAATTTAAATTATAAATACATTAAAAAAGAACTGGCACCTATTTATGGTAATATCTTCTTATATTTGGTATACTAAATTACTAAATAAGTAATTAATAATTGGTAAATGTGGTTCCCAGAGATATTGACAACCAAACGGGTTACCGAGACTCCGACTCGATTCTGAAGGAGAAACAGAGTCGTTTTTAGTCACTGAATCTGCATTCTCTCTCTCTCTCGTCAACTAAGGCGGGTGAAGCAATTGAATGATTTTCCCCCTCAAAAAAAAAGTTAAAAGTGCATACTTACTTTTTATTTGGAGAGGCATATAAAAGCATAAGGCGCACCATTGGGCAAGCTCGACCGAAGTACCATGGCCTCAAAAACGCTTGTGTTGTATTTAATCGAGGGAGTGAGGTTACCGAAGACCTAATTATTCCCACAATCCAAAATGCCAGCCACGCACATATTGTAACTTCTCTGATGCGAAGGATGTCCGTAGATAAACAACCTAATGATGTCTGCTGCCATATAAACATGTTTCGTAGTAGGAAAGTAGTACCTGCATATAATTTGTGGTTTTCAACCTTATCTCTAGAAGTTACGATCTCCGGCCACCGTCAGCGCGAGCCTGCGGACGACGAGCATGGATGGCTCGCCGCCCGATTATAACCAGACCCGAGCGTACGGCACGTCGCGTTCCGCGCGCGTCTCAAAGAGCCATCAAACTACCACGGATGGGGCCCAATAGGGCTGATGCCGATACGGGCTCCGTCTTGAAGTGCAGGAGTAGGAACAGGGTGGTTTTTAGGCAGTCTGAGTCTGACACTCCCTCGCGCCTCACCCAGGCGGGAGGAAAAATTCGATGATTTTGGGCCCTTAAAAAAATCTCTAGAACTTATAGGTATGTAGGTACATAATTATACAAGTGCTCAGTCGTTTCCACACAAATAATCATGTTGTTATAACAAGACCAATTTATTCTCAGATCAATTAATTAATGTCCCCCAAAATCTGTTTTTACCTGTGCCAGATAAAAAGCTTTTTAATGGTGAGGCAATATGGTTTGTTCCCACGTCAAACGTCGCTAATATGACATCCGAACATTTGTAATACAACAATGGATCCTCTTACCTCAGAGGGGTATTTAAGAGCAGCGGGGGTTGAAAGGGCGTTTGTAAATATAATACGGATAGAATAGATAGGCACCTAAAAGGTGTCTGCGAATTAGTGCGGATAAAAATGAGCCAATTATTTGTTTAGTAGCTAAATAGGTACTACTCTATGTATTAAATTCCCTGAATGTAGATATTTTTTGGGATGATAGTTACGTAGGTACCTACTAAAGTGAACACGATGTTGTTCAAAAGGTCCAAATAAGTTTAATTATTTGGTCATTTACTTACTAATATTTAATGATATAAGCATCTCCACATCTACTTACGTTGAAGCCGAGGCCTCGCGGCTAGAGTTTCAAGTTCGATTGTCGGGATAAAGAGCAATTAAGATATAATTTGTTTCGAAAATTCTCAGTTGTTGCATGAATTTTGGAAAGGTGTCTGGTATATGATAATGTGGTTTGCCCTATTACTACTACATTGTACATAATATAATTAGCGAGAAGTGAGTTTTACACATCTAGGTAATAGGTACCTAATGAACTGTAACAAAACCTACAGAAAATAAAAAGTGTGATGTTAAGAATAATGATACTAGAATATGGATAGGTAATAGATACATATACCGAGAAGTCATTCACACCTAAATACCCACATATCTACCACAATTATGTAGGTACTTAAGTATGTGAGTTTATTTACGGCTATGAACATTGATAATATCTAAACTTTAACGTTTCTCCGACTATTATCCGCTTTATAACTCGAATAATACTCTTGTCCAACTTAGGTACGTTGGTCTTGTGACATTTGCTAACAAACTGTTGTTCATATAGGAGCACATGAACTTTTTACCATCAAATATGTTTCAAATATACATTTTGTTTGGAATAAAATATTTGTTAGTGTCAGCGAAAATGTTTGAAAGTGAATTAAATGTGAATGATATACTCCGTTCGGATTTGATGCCGACATACTTTATGGTGGGCAGTGAAAATCAAAGTGTTGAAAGTTTTAATAAGACTGCAGATATGAGTGTTGAACAGTCGATCAATGGGTCTATTGATGCTGCGTTATCCACTCTAGGATTCCACAGGTATTGTATAACTTTTATAGGTACCTACATAGTCAGTTTAGTACAAAGCATTACCTACCCAAGATTTGTTTGTCAACGGTTGTTGTAGCATAGACAGTTATTTTAGGAATTCAAAAATTGTATATCACGTAATTATTCGTCATCATCATCTTCATTAGCCACGGACTAACTACAGTTCTCAAACTGAGAAGTATTAGTAGAATGAATAACAAGTTAGGGGATTCAAATGCGATTTTCTTGTTGGAAAAAGCGTCACCAAGTAAGTATAACGATTAACCATACATCATACAGTACCATTACATTATAATGTAATCGAAATACCTCTATTAACCTCAATGCATCATTTTGAGACGGTTTAGTTTAGATCGATTGACTGTAAAGGCTGAAATACTATAAACAAAAGTTTATAAGTTAGTAAGTTTGAATTTTGATTTTCACAGAAAAATGATGAACGAATACCATTGCCGAAATTACATAGCTGATCAAATTTTGGAGGAGATGGGGAAAAGTGTCTTGCAAAACAGGATAGGGAAACCCTTTAGTGAGGTAAAAGACAACGTGTTGTCTCGGAGACAGGACATAAGGAGTAATGTAATGTTTGATGTTGGGTCCTCTAATTATCAAGAATGGCTTGCCAAGTAAGTTCTTTTCAAAATATTTTTCGTTTCTCAGAGTAGTAGACTATCTGTAATTTATGGTTATTGCTAAGAGCAATACGTGTAAAAAATAGTGAAAAGTGGGTGTTACTTACTTGTGCACCTCTTCCTACCCCTTCGGGAATAAAAAAAAGCTCTTAACGGTTGACGCATTTAACTGAAGCTGATTTTTTGGCACCGCACTTTACAATATAGATGGAAAGATGTCATAATAAACATGGAGTCTAAGTTTGTCCATAAGGAACACGGGTCACAGCTCCATTACATAGTCGTTGGTAGATTCATCCGGGTGATCTCAATAAAACAGTCAGTGAAAGATTACCTTTACTTACCTACATACCAATGTTTTTTATTTTCAGGGTGGCAGCTCTCAACGATGTTCATAATGCAGCCAACATGGCGACA